TATTTCTAAGTACTTTCTTCATCTTGATGCTTTTGTAAATGGAATTATTTTCTTAGTTTCCTTTTTTTTTTTTTAATTAGGCAGCACACCCAATGTGGGGCTTGACCTCAGGACCTGAGATCAGGAGTCAGTTGCTTTACCAACTGAGCCATGCAGCCCCCCTCTTAGTTTCCTTTTCAGGATGTTCACTGCTAGTACACACAACTGGATTTTGTGTGCTGAATTTAAGTATTGGCTCTAATAGCTTTTGTAGTGGATTTCTTAGGATTTTTTGATATCTAAGATTCTGTCATCTGCAAATAGTTTTCTTTGTTTTCCACATTTGGTGCCTTTTATTTCTTTACCTTCACTGATTGCTCTGCCTAGAATGTTCAGTACAATGTTGAATGGAAGTTGCAGGAATTAACATTTGGACTTGTCCGTTGTCTTAGGGGGATGCTTTCATTCTTTTACCATGGAATAGGATAGTAGCTGTGCGTTCTTCATAAATGCACATTTTCAAGTTGAGGAAGTTCCCTTCTAATCCTAGTTTTCTGAATGCTTTTGATCATGAAAGAGTGCTGGAGTTTGTCACATGCATTTTCTGCATCATTTTGTGGTAGTCATGTGGTTTGTTCCTTTCATTTTATTAATGTGGCATATCATATTGATGTTCATACATTGAACCACCTTTACAATCATGGGATAAATCCTACTTTGCCATGATGTATAATCCTTTTAATTAAAATTCTTTTAATCAATAAAACTGCTAGTTTTGGTTTCCTAGTAAACATTTAAAATTTTTGCATTTATAGTCATAAGGTGTATTGGTCTGCACTGTTTTCGTTGGTGTCTTAGTCTCACTTTGCTATCAGGGTAATGTTGGCCTCATAGAATGAGTTAGGAACTTGTCCCCCCCCCCTTCTATTTTTTGGAAAGGCTTTGGGAAGGATTTATAATTATTAATTATAATTTATAATTCTTCATTCATTAGCCACCATATAGTAGTACATCATTAGTTTCAGAGGTAGAGTTCAATAATTCATCAGTTACATATAGCACCGGTGTTCATCATATTGTGCCCTGCTTCATTCCATCACCCAATTACGGCACCCCCCACCACTCCTCCAGCGACTCTGAGTTTGTTTCCTAGAGTTAAGAGTCTCTCATACTTTGTCTCCCTCCGTGTGTGTGTATAATGTGTGTGTGTATGTATAATGTGTGTATGTATATATACCACATGGTCCTTATCCATTCATCTATCAATGGGCATCTTGGCTCTTTCCATAGATTGGCTATTGTGGACACTGCTGCTATAGACATTGGGGTGCATGTGCCCCTTCAGATCGTTCCGTTTGTACATTTTGGGTAAATACGTACTAGTGTAATTGCTGGCTCCTAGGGTGGCTCTGTTTCTAGCTTCTTGAGGAAACTCCACACTGATTTCCAGAGCGGCTGCACCAGCTTGCATTCCCACCAACAGGGTATAATTCTTTGGGCATTTGGTAGAATTCACCAGCGAAGCCAACAGGCCCTGAGCTTTTCTTTGTTCTAGGTTCTTGTTGATGGATTTACTCTCTTTACTTTTTTCATGGGTCTATGGAGAATTTCTATTTTCTCATGAGTCTGTTTTGTTACATTGTGTGTTTCTAGGAAATTGACCCTTTCACCGAACTTGCCTAAATTTTGGTGTACAATTGTTCATGGAATTCCCTTGCAATCTTTTTTTTTTTTTTAAATCTCTGCAAGGCTGATAGTAATGTGGGGACATTTCTGATTTTAGTAACCTGACTATTCTCTCTTTTCCTAGTATACTATTGCTTTTACTTTCTTATATTTTAAGGACATATCAGCTTCATAAGCCTCCATGTGTGTCTTTCCATATAATGACACTTGTGCTAACGTGAAGGTCCTACCACCCACCAAGTACATCACTGCCAGCTCTATACAGAGAGTCTGGAGAGAAAAAAAAACAAACCTTGGGTGATCCACAGAAACTTTGGATTTCCTGTGAGGTGAAATGAGGCAGAACTCCATTATTATCTAGACTTCATAAGTCCCTTTATATGTAAAGAACTCATATTCAATATTCTTTTTTTCTTTTAAATCCAGGTATGGTCCTTACCACGATCTCTTTTACCTTACCTTCGTAAATAAGCACAGGTTTTTGGGAAAGGCTTGGCCGGTATTTTCTGACCTCCACTTTCCTCAAAGGGCCCTGGGCCGGTGGGCTTAGAACTGGACACTTGGTGGGGGACCAGAGTTTTCCACCAGAGCTGCTAGCATCAACTTTCTGCTTGCCAGTTCTCATTATTTTCTTCTTAGAAAAATCAAGTAATACCCCAGCCAGCTGTCCCTATATCTAGACCACAGAACACTATGTACTCTCTATACTACCTCTCTTGCCACAGATTCTGGTCAGTCAGATGAGACTGGCTCCCCCCGGGCCTTGCAGTCCAGTATGGTAACTGTGCCTACCTTGCCCTGCATAGGTTTGTGCCACCATCGTTTAGGGTGATCTTAGCCCCTTTACAACTGCTCAGGCTGGAAGGTATCTCAGAGTCTACACAGCCAGTCCCCAAATACGGCTGCACACCCCAAATGTGATCCTGGTTCACATGGGATCCTTGTGGAGGAGACAAGATGCATGTCCTAGGCATGTCTGCCCTCTTCAGTGGATGCCTCAAGCCTACATGATACCCCAGGAGGGAGGGGGTCCTCCCCCTTCACCCCAAACCAAAGGACACACTGCAAAAAAGGCATGGGGGGAAATCTGGGGATCTGGTTTCACATATAGGCCATCAATCCATGATGCCGATAAAGATTTCTCACTAAGGAGGCAAAGTAGTGCCACAGTCATCTGAGAAATGGAAGGGTCTTTTTTTTTTTTTTGAAATGGAAGGGTCTTAAACTACGTCTTACTTGTTCTGCTGACTCACAGTGCCAGGAATGGATGATGGGTGGATGGATGGATGGATGGATGGATGGATAGGTGCGTGGATGGATGATGGATGGATGAATGGATGAGGTAGTGAAGAAAATATTAGAATGTAGAGCCAGATATGGCCATATGAGAAGGCTGAAGTTGAGTGGTATATTTGGCTCGGGAGACACGATGTTTATAGAAGAACTAGAGTGTGTCGTTTCAGTGTAAAAGGCCCACAGAGAGCATGAGATGGTGTGTTTCCAAGTACTTTTCAGGACCATGAGGATATCATGTGGATTAGCCCAAGCAGAATGCCTCAGGAGTCATTGGCATCTCTCAGGCAGCATCCAAAGAAGTTCTTTTGGGCCTGAAGCTTACACAATTTGGAAGGCCCTCTTATAAAATTATGCAAAACGAGCATGAAAGTGAATATTGATTTAGGATTGGAAGAAAATTCATAATGAACTTTAAAAACTGATGACTAAATCACTGAAATTCCAAAATAGTATGTACACACACACACGTGTGTGTGAGTGAGTGTACATATATTTAAACACACCAACTGTGTAGTTGTACAATCTAAAGTATGATGAAGCACAAGTTCAAAGTGAAAGGTACCACAGTTTTATTGGGAATCAAAACAGCTAACTTGCAAATTTTACACACACATTCACACAAATCACATGGCCGTGTGAACACATAACATAGGCCTGTGAGTGACAGCTGACTCTCTCTAAGAATAGAAATGCACTCGGGTTCATGTCAGACCTTTAGTGCTCATTTTCACATCACATTTTAAAAGCAAACTAGTTTTTCTAACTTTTTTTCCTCAAAAAATTGTCTCTTGTTTCAAGTTAGGATAACAATTCATGGACTTCAGAGTTTATCTTTTGGTTAAGCAAGTTTCATTGTACTCTGGCAACAGCCACATTTAGGCAAATGGAAGCTTTTCTGTAGCTCATTTCCAGGTTCCCAGATACCAGTCCATCTATTGCTCACACAGCCTGGAACGACTTACCAGCCTGCATATATAATTGTCGGAACCTGTCAGGGGCTAGCCAGTGAATAAATCAAAAGAGAGCGCTGACTTGGTTTGAGATAGATGATTGCGTCTTAGGGGACACAGTTCCGGAACAAAGTGCATGCTTTCCTACAGTGCGTGCCACTTAGATGGGCTCCCAGCAGTGAACCTGGACTCCAGCTAGGTCTAAACTCGCCAAACTGTGTGTCCGATTACTCTAGTTGTCTTCCACAGGGGAATAAGCCACTACATGCAAAGCATCCCATCAGTCAGGAAGACAGCTAGGAGCCTGTTTGTTTTAGGAAACCACTTAGCCACTGAGCAAGAACTGCTTCCCTAAGTGGAATCTCAGGCAAGTGTAGAGGTCACAGTCTCGCACAGGCCGACAAAATGTTCACCGCACGTTGAGATGTCGTTCACTCCCATGTGGACTACACGCAGATGACCAGACATTAACTTTGGGTTCCAGACGGCTTCTGCAGGAACCATGAGAAGGTAGTGACAGTATGTCGCAAACATCTGTGCCGTTGGCTTCACCCCTCAGGGCTTTTCTTCCACACAGATAAGCATGGCAGATCAAATTCAAGGAATTATCCTAAGAACGAATGCAGTCATTTACACCGAGGTGTCACAGAGAGAGTGAGAAATCCATGTGATGTTTCTGCGAAAATCCATCTTACATTTTAAAAGCGATTGTTGCTTCATGTCTGACACCAGGGCTCTTTCACGTCATAAGAGATCGTGCGTCCCGTATTTAAAATATGAAGTGCTGTCCAAAGCAACCTTATGAAAACATCTAGACAATGACACATCCAAGTAAGTAGAGAGAAGTACGACTGTGTGCAGTATTTTTTTTTTTTTATCAAATTAGTTTGCGAGGCGTTTGGGAACCAGAAACGATGGTGGCCGTGCTATGCACAAGTGCCACAGATGGATCCAAAATGAACCCAGCATGTTCCCGAGGTCTCAAATTTCTAGAACATATGTATATGGCATAGAGAATGGAAGGGTCCCGCATTTCATGCAGACAGGGCAATGAGAGGTCTCCCTGCTGCAGTGTGGGCACAGGAGGGCTTACTTATTAGCCTTGAGCCCGGGTGCCGATCTCTTTCGCATTTGCTTTAGGATATTTTTATCAAACAGCTGTTTTTCCCGGTAATGCACGGGTGGGCCCCGTAGGTACTTTTCTTCTGCCTCCTTATAACCTAATCCGTCAAGTGCAGCAATGGAACAAATGATTGCTTCTGGCAGAAGAACTTCCACAACAAAACTGACTTTGTCGTCCCTTGCCAGAGTCAGCCTCTTCTTGTCTATTTGTTTGTAGATTTCTTGTAAATGTCCCACCACCACATCCAACTGGTCTTCATCCTCCAGGTATGTTTCAATGCAGAGCGTGTACCTCTTGCAATTCAGAAATGATGTCAGCCACCTGGACTGTTTCCTGCCTTTGACAATGTCCAGAAGGTGGTGATCGGCTCCCTTCGTTTTCACGATGAAGTCCACGAGCTTCTGGTTGGCTCGGTCCCGAGCAGCCCTCATCCGGTCAGGGAGAATCTTCTTGCGGGGCCTCTTCCCGCCCACGGAGGTCTCCTCCTCAGAATCCTCCAGGTCGGCATAATTGACCTTTGGGAAGTCAACCTCCAGGTCCCCGTCCTGGATGGCTTTCCTAACTGGGTAACTGACGTCAGCAGCATAATAGTCCAGGAAGGAGCCTGCAAAAGACCCACAAGTGAGCCCTTCTCTGTAGTGAGAAATCAGGGAGAAACACCAGTTCACACTTTGCTCGTACACTCTCCTGGCTCTCTTCATCAGTGTTTCTTTCTCTTTGCAGTCCAGGGGCTTTAATCTTCGAAGAGGAACTCGAATGCCACTCATTTCAGCGTGCATGTTTGCCTCAATCAAAAGCACCCTTGCAGTCTGCTCTGCTTGGCTGACGCTCTTTACCACTGCGGGCCAAAAGGGGTGATTTTGAAATTTAAACCAGACCATCATCCCTCCTTCAATGGGACAAGGCTCCTGTGGAGAAAGCGTGCCGGTCAGGTGTCCCATTTCCTGGCTGACATCCTTCTTAATAGCAGTGGTGGGGTTCACAGCCTTTGAGCTGGCCGGAGGTCGAGATTCCTGCAGCCCTTTCTCAAACTCTGGAACCTGCAGCTTCCTTCTCCTGTTTGCCAGACGGAGTGAACAACGCAGCCTCAGGTTAGGGGCACTGGAGGAGGCTGCCACACCTTCCAAGCCTGGCTCCCAGGGACCCTCTCCGTGGTCCTCAACATTCCCGGAGGAGGCAGAGCGCTCAGAGGAGGCGGCCGGGGTCTTTGCGTGGGTGTCAGGTGCCTCTTCTTTCAGAGCCTCCTCGGGCACAGTGAGGTTGAAACCTGGTGGCGGAGATGGAAGGATGCCTCCATCTTCAGCCCCGGTACCCTCCTCCTTGGCTATGCGATGCGAAGACCTAACTCTTGAGGTGTCCCTCTTTTCCTTGCCCTCTTTCTCACCACCATCTTCTGAAAGCGACAGGAAGTTCGGGTGCCTGCTGGAGCTTGGTGAGGACTTTGCTCGCCTTTTCCTTGGAAGGGGAGTGACAGTTGTGTGTGCCTGTGATTGGCCGCCTTCTGGGGCGTCCGGTCTCTGAGAACGCAGCAGCCGCGATTTGAGGTTTCTGCGTTTCCTGAGACGCTTCAGTAAGATCCCTTTGGCCTTCCGGTAGTTTTTAAGAGATCGCTTTCTTGGTCCCCTTCGGGACCGTGTAGTGGTCTCTGGATCATCCCATGCTCCTGCTGGGCGCACATCTGCTCTCCCCTTCAGAATCTCCAATGCCACTGTAAGAGCGTTTCTGTAAGGCACTTCCTGTCCCACTGGGACACTGGCCTTCGACTGGGCTGTTAGCAAGGAGCTAATGGATTCAATCTGAGACTCGTTTAGGATCTTTACGTCTGTGCTTTTCACTTTAATTTTTTCATCTACCGAGAGTATTTCAACTTCTAGAGAAAGTGCTCCTTTCCTCTTATTTCTTGGTGAGACCCCGGATCTGGACAGAAGCCTTGCTGGCCACAAGTGGCCTTTCCAATTGCATAGGACATACTCAGCATCCATTGTGATTTGGGTGTCCTCTCAAGAGCTGACTAATAGAGGCTGAGGGGTCTGGCTGTCAGACACACAGGCACAGCACATCTTCCCTCAAACAATGTCCTTCAGCACGCCTTTTGGCCTCGGGCCACAAAGGGTTTACGGCTTGTGTGGACAGTCCTTCTTCACCTGAGTCTCCCAGGGTCCCGGGGACTTGTGATCAGAACGGACTGTATAGGAGAACACTGGAATGTGGAAAAGGAAGAGAAGAAAAGCATTAGGGGAAAAAATTCCTTTTGTGAATGTAGAACATTAATCAATGAGAATCGAAAGGAGATAAAACAAAGAACTATAAACAGTGTGTGCGTCAGACAGGGGGGGTAAATACAAGGCACGTATCGGGGAACATACAGAAGATGCCTGAGGAGTTTTTTTAACCTTCCATACCCAACTTCTTGCCCTGCTTGTTGCCACTACACATTAAAGAGCATCTGTGTGGGGAGGCGGGTGTCATTTTCCAGATCTCATTTGTGTTATTGGCCGTCTTGTGCCTTTTGTGCTCGCTGGGGCTCATCCTGGGGGGATGCTTCGCTCGGTCCTTATTTTCTGGGGGGCGCTGATGCCACCCTGTGCACCCAAGGAAGCCAGGGACGATCTCCAGCCTACAGACACTGAATGCCAGCCGGCTCAATCTTGGGTTCAAGAGCATGAGCTTAGAATCCAGAGGTTCACCAAGATCATCCTGGTGGTTACTGGTGCCATCCTTCATAAGGATTGCTACAGGCATGGGCCATTGGCTGTGACCTGCCCCTTTGCATTGCCCTACGGTGGCTCAAAAGGCTGTTGCCCACCCCCCTCCCCGCCCCCAGCGCTAAATTTTCGGAAAGAGATGGCTGTAGAGCAGGAGCGGAATAAGCCACACTCCAAATGTCAACATGAAATGACTGCAAGTGAAATGTTTAGTAAAATAGTAACGTCTTACAAAACACCACGTAGATCGGGGGAGGCGTGAGTCTATTCGCGGCACCCGTTGGTTCACACGCTCCAACGGCTTGTCCGGCAGACCCTTTCCTCTGCTCTGTGCCTCTGAGGTGCACAGTCCTTCCAGGGATCAAATGGCCTCAAATGTAGATACCCAGGACGTACGTACCTCTAATGTTAATCTAGAAAATCGGAAAGGCAGATGGGAAATTAAGCCAACGAAATGGGGATGGAGTCATCATTTTCCCTTGCCCAGCTCTGGAATACAGGCTATTCTGAAACAGAAATGTTAGTTACATCTCATTTGGAATGTAGACCTGTCTCTCTGCTTCCTTCTTTTGCATTTCAAAAATATTGCCACATTAACCTGTTTAGTTTAGGCTAGTCCTCCTATTTCAGAACCATGGCAACTACGGCTTTCATAATAGCCTTTTTGTCCGTCTTAAATGCAAGGATTTAATAGTAGCAGCGTTTGTGTGTGTGTGTGTGTGTGTGTCGAGTGTGTGTGTGTGTGTCGTGTGTGTTAGCGTGTAACGCTAACGGTGTCTATTATGTAAGTGTGTGTTGGTGTTTCTAAAGTAAGTTTGTGGAGTACAGAAACCATGCAGAGGGGCATACATGGGAGGAAATACATTATAGATGCTTACTGTCAACATGATGGTATGAGGCCTCGTCGCACGTTCCCTATGCACCATGTACTTATGCATGCACATATTGCCTAGGACTGTATTTTTTCCACTCAGGAGCAGTATGGGATCACTGTTTCGTGGGAATCTGATTTTTTTGCGTCAGTTTTGTGAATCTCTTTTGGCAATGCGGTTTCCCTGACATTTAAAAACTTCATTTGAATACATTTCAAACATTTAGATGAGTGTGATGCAGAAAATGCAGTTGTTCTCTCAGTCCCCTTCCCCACCCCTCAAGAAATACCTGTTAATGGGTTCTACTTTCCGCATGTACTGTTCAATTATGTATCATAGTTCGCTTACAGATTTTAGCTCATCCATTAACAGTTTCAAATGGTACGCTTTGTTTTACAAGAGATTATTTCCCTAATAAACGCGTGTATGCAGGACTTTGTTTACACATACTCCTAGCTACAATATGAAACGTATGATGACTAACGACACAGACTTTGGGCCCAGCCTGCACAAACCTTTTCTTGCCAGAATGTGTGATCATCCAGGTATTATGTCCTCTGCTTTACAGAACTCAGTGTACTGTCTCTTAGAACACGGGTGTCGGGTGTCGGGTGAGGACACAGAACAAGGAGGAGAAGGAAAAACAGGTGATTCAGCCAACTGCAGTCTCCCTGCAGCAGGATCTGCCAGTCTCTCACACAGAACAGTAGTGCCTGAGTCACCTGAGCTCCAACCAGACCGCCAAGACACACCCACACTCACAGATACATACACAGACTCAGAGTGATGAGGTTAGATACCCAAGATGCCTGATATTGATGCATGGAATCAATGCTTTCTGCTCTACACATGCATGCAAATATTGCTGCTTCCAGGGCAGGGGTTCTTTCCAGCTCGTCTCAGTTCCTTATCTTGGAAATACACGCGGAGAATCTAAAATGCTGTTTAAAATTATAAAGTAGGAAAAACCTTAAGGATCAGTAAGCTGATCACCCAGAAGGAATGCAAACTGCAAATATATGAGTCTCGCACTTTTAAATTCTGTTTAAACCTATTTTCTATAAGATATTAGAAAGGGCTTTGAAAACCATAGCACCTATTTGAATATTCTCTCCCATTCACGTTTGTGTACATCTGTTCAACTACGAAGCACTTTAATGGAGTAACTTGCAGCGGACAACCAAAATATCAATTGTAATCATTTTGTCCGGTTACCAAAACAATGCATCCTTGAGAGACGCAGTCAGAAGGAAAGGGTTTTTTATTGACAATATAAAATCCTCCATGGCCTACTCACCATATGCTTTGGCCCACTGTCCAAACAGCTTCCATTTAAGGGTTGGCACATAATGTTGCAGATGATTTCCTTATTTTTTCATCCTAACAAGAGCACAGCTCTTTTCTTTCCCTCTAAGGGTGCATCCAGGTGGGTGTGTAGACAGACAGATGGTAGGTGGACAGATAGACAGACAGAGGGAATGATATGTAAATGTTGATCCTCTTCTGCACACCAGGAACAAGTATTAAAAATAGAACCATGAATGACACTGAAGTAACTATTAAAGTGACCCCCAATCCTCGGAGGGCTTGGATCTGAACATGTATCCACAATTCTAGTTTACAGTCATAGCAAACGTGCCTGCCCAGTAAAAATGAATAGAATATAACAGAAGAGGAATCGTAGAAGTAACAACTCCACAATTTGTAGCTTCAGGGTCAATTCCAGACCATCAAGAAATAGAACCCTCAGATGAACCAGCTTCAATGTTTAAGTCCTGCTGTTAACTCTAGTCCATTTGCTCCTTGGCTAAGGAATGAGAGAACGTGGTGGCAACGAATATTTATTTCTCCAATCAATGGCTGTGACTTTTGGAAGAATGATTTTGGAAGCTTTGTTCCTTAACTCCTTTCCCCATTGAGGGCTGTGATCACTTCCAAACAAAAACGAAAACAGCCCTCTGAAGGTGTTGTCTCTTAAAACGGGGGCACTGTCCTTGATAGGACTCCCGCACCCCTCCACTCCCCAGAGGCAGGACTTCTCTCATCTTTACCCCAACACCCTCTCATCCCTTCCCTAAAACCAGGTCTTATTTATTGGACCTTTTTTTGTGTTTTTCATTCTGAGAGGGAGGAGGAAGGCGGGGCCATAGGTAGAGGGAGAGATGGAATCTTAAGCAGGCTCCATGCCCAGTGCAGAGCCCCACACAGGGATCGATCTCATGACCCTGATATCACAACCTGAGCTGGAATCAAGAGTGGTGTTCCCAACCGACTGAGCCACCCAGGCACACCTTGAAGCTTCTTTTAAGCTGTAGGCTTTGTGACCTTAAACTGTCCCCAAAGCATGTATTTCCATGAATGGACAAGTTAGCAGGTCCCCCTTTTGGCTATAAAGGCACATTTTATGCAATTTAAGTTAGAGAGAAAACACGTTCTTTCCTACTATTGCACCTTTGCAGTGCCAGATGAATCCAGGATGAACTTTCCACTTGTCAAAGTTTTTAACCAAATTCCATTTGTAGAACAACTAGGTGGGAATTGGCATCTTCAGAATTTCCCTTATGTTGTTCACTAGTTTTCTAAACTCATAGAGGTCACGTCTATTTGGAAATGTGGACCATTTTTGTACAAACATTTTAATGGCAAGCGTTGCAGACTGAAAAATCGGGACCCACACTCAGTTTCATCAAGGAACTGAAAAAATTAGGCTTGCTTCTCACCTACAAATGATCAGCTACAAAACTAAAAGCACATACACCTTCCAATTGCCAAGCTCTGCTTCCAAATTTTCCCTTAGCAAAGATGGAACCAAAGCAACTACTCTTGCAGGCACACACCATCAAGAGCTCTCTACTCTTGAGGAGGAAAAGCATAAGTGCTTGTGCAAGGACTACACAAACGTCAAGGATTCCCTCCGGGCCTTATTTTAAGACTAGAGTGACTTCTGCCCTATTCCTTTAGCAAACTCGGGTGGTTTCTCCCGTCAAGCAGGCCAATTTTCTTCCAGAGATTCACTGTTACCCCTCCAGTCCCTGTTACCTACCACAGGGACACCTCCACTTCCCCCTCTAACAGTGATGAAATCAGGCACAGCCTTAGGACTGAAAAAGTCAAGAGCACCCTGGTCTTTCCTGCAGGTGAGACTTCCATAATTACTGATATCCAGGTGAGTGGACAAAGTGTGTATTTCAGAACCTATTAATTTCCCTGTGTCGTGCACAAGGAGAAAAGGGTGCCCTAATTCACAAGACAACTCACTGCATCGTAGCTTGTCATAACGGCATTGGATGTCTGCCAGGTGCTTGCTACCCATGGGAAAAGACTAACAAACTGATAATCTAAGGCAACAAGGGCATGTTATGCATCCAACACGAGGACTGATGCAGACCTTCATGTTCTGACAGA